TATCAATTTCACAATCATATCATAATAAAATCATATTAATTAATTAATTAATTAATTTATTTATTTTCATCATCACGTGCTAATCATTTGGCAGTGAAAGCAAAACTATTTGGGAGAATATTTTGCTTTAAGGAGCTTTCATTCTATACCAAGGCCACTAATCAACCTGTACAATAGATTCAAATGATAAAAAAATACTCTTGCATTTCAATTATGTTGCTGCTCTACTGCAAATGTAAGATAATGTAATGGGGTTGTGAATCTTGTGATTGCTAATAATAAAAGAAAAAAGTGTTAGAATACAACAGAGTGGCATAGATTTGATTCTCTTGACTGATTAGCGGCAATCAAGAGCTGGTCTGGTTGACAAAGATTTGAAGTTCAATATTTGTGATATTATAAGTTCTAATGTTGACGGTTGTTGTCTGACATCGAATTCACATAAGTAATGTGATATTATGAGTATGCATGTAGTTACCCAATAATTTAAATCTTTAAGTGAGCCGACTAACTTGTTAGAATCTTAAATTTGTCGTCGCCTAACCTCTTGGCTCACCCAAGCCACCTAAGTTCCTCCGGTAGAATGTCATGATTTAAACTTATTTAATTCGTTATACTATAACCTTATCCTAGGGCGGAGGCAAAAATTTTAGGTTTGGGGCCGGATTTGTACTATTTAACTAAAACTTAAAAATTTTATAAATCAATTGGAATGTAATTTTTTATAAATACTAGTCATAGTATATATACTTTGAGAAAATTGAAAAATGAAAAAAATACGACTTAATAATAAACTAAAAAATAATATTAGAAAGGAAAATGTAGAGAAAAAATGATGTGTTACAATTAAAAAGAGAAGATGTACAGAAATAAGTATTGTCAAATATTCAAATTTTCTTTATCAATTGCTTCAGTTTTTTAAAATCTAATTTTTAGAAGAAAAAAAAATCAGATACTTTGATCTCACATGGGAAAGATATACCTTGATGAATGTTTAGAAAAAAAAAATAATGAATTTTAACTAACCAAAATAATTTTAAATAAACAAAACGTCAATAAAGATTGTTATATAATTCTAGATATTTTTCTTATAAATATCATTGTACAAAAATGTTTAACAAAAAATACTTGAAATTTTTTTATTAAACATGTTGGAACATTAGTGATTTTATCATTTTTTTTTTTTTTTTCTTGAATTAATATTATAGATATTGTACATGTGTATATATATAAATTAATTAACAATGTGTTACAATTAGAACTACAATTATAATGAGCTTATTTACAACATTCGAGTTTTTAAAAGCATAGTTAAAAGAGTTCAAGTAGAACTTTTTTTAAAATTTCAAGAAAACACACACTAAATTTATTTCCGAACTCTCTATTTTGGGTCAATATGTAATTGTTTTGAAAAAAAATTTGAGGGGCCAATTAAAATATTTATTAATTTTTAATGATAAAATTTATAAATTAATTAATATATATGGGATAGTAATAAAAATTGCCCTGCTGGCCCCCTGCATATCCCATTGTCTCAAATCTCGGATTATATCCATTCAAGTCTCATGGTCCCACCCTATGGTATTCTCATTGTGTGCCCAGTGCCTTGTATCATTGTGAGAGAGAATGACATATCACATAATGTTCTCCTTTTTAGGCGATAAAAAGCAATTATTTTTTGAAAGAAAAGTAAAAAGAATTGATTCCACAAATTTACCCTGTTTTTTTTCTTTCTGAAAGCTAATGCAATTCAACTTTGAACACATTTTTTTCTACATTTGTGAGAGTTGCATAAAGTAGTGTGCAATTTAGAGTAACTAACTAATTGAATATACAATTATTAAATAAAGTTAAAGTAGTTTAGAAAAGTTCAAGAACATATGTGGAACATTAATGTTCATATGAAAAAAAATATATATAATAATAATAATAATAGACTGTCTTTATGGATAAAGAAGTAGGCAGATCTCTCCATAACCCAGTAATTAGTTCTTTTGAAAATTTTGAAGTATCAAGTTTTGACTATTTGCATTTAGTCTTTAGACAATTTTATTTTATTTTTAAATTATTTTTTTTACAAACAAATTTGCCTCTTATTGTATAAAGTTTTACTGTTATCAAATATAAGAAATCTCCATTAAAAGAAATTATTGTAAAATTAGTAGTAGAAATATTTTAGCAACAGCGCAAATATTTCTACTACTAATTTTACTAAATAATTTATTTTTTATTTTTTTAAAAACGTGAAATTGACCCTTTACTTTAGAAGTTGATGATTATGCATTATTTAATGTGTCATCTGTTTATGAGGAGTTTGAGAGAAAAAAACTATAGACATAGCTAGTCTTTTGCATTATTTACATGAATCAACTTTACTTTTTAAAAATAAAAAAATAAATATATAATAAAAAAAATCTTTACTTTCTCAATCTGAAAATTTGTCATTATAAGATTCCAATGCAGTAATTGCCGACATTTTCGGCTTAATTGACGCAATTTGAGTTAAGTTGATTGGGTGTGGGTTCAAGCAAAATGTGCTAACAAATAAAGAGTCATCATTTTATTTTTATTATTATTTTTGTTATTAGCAAGAAATTTTATATACACACCATTTTGCAAATAAAAAAGCTTAAAGCGTGGACGGCAGGATTCGAACCTGCGCGGGCAGAGCCCACATGATTTCTAGTCATGCCCGATAACCACTCCGGCACGTCCACTCGATGAAGACTAAATGTTGCTAGTATTGTAATTATAATGATATAAAAGCACAGCTAAACTTTATTTTCACGAAACTAACAAGTAGCACTCACGTAACATATTCAAATCCCGTAAGATATTCATTTTGCGGCCTGGGCTAGGTATTGTCGTCTCTTCTGCTCTTTGTTGTAGGTTTTTTTTGGATTGTGTTTTGTTTGTTTTTGTCAGAAAAAAAATAAAATAAAATAAAATTTCACACTCTATGTTACATATAAGAGTGTCATGTTGAATCCTGGCACAGACTATCATATTATTACATGGAATATAAAATTTATGTAACGTATTATGTCGCGTTGCATCATTATAATATTAGTAAATTTAGAATTTAATATGTGAATGTATTGTGATGAAATCCACCACACAAGTGAGTGTTGGTCGGGTCAGGAGTCAAATAGATAATACTTATGCAATATATTATATCATCTTGCATCACTGCAATATCATTAAATCAAAAAAATTTAATATGTTTACATCATTATTGCATTGTTGATTTAAACACACAAAACAAAGAGAATCATGATCCCTCTACTCGATCTCATCTCAGTAAGAACAATTTTGGTGGTACAAATTAAAGATGCATTAAATTAATCTCGTTGTGGGAACTCAAAGAGTGCGTTTTAAGCACAAATAATGAATATTAGCACCACAACGATCCCCATGGATGCAGGAACTCCAAAGTACGAAATATATATATATATATATATATATATATATATATTGTTGGCACAAAGTAATGAATCTACTTTGTAATCATCATGATTTTTTACTCGTTAATTGCGTGACAAATAACAAAATCTAATGTGGCTTTGGCCAAAGAAAAAAGAAGCTTTCACTGCGTACGAAACCAAAGTTTGTTTGCTTTTGGGTTAGTCCATGGCTTAGTGGTGAATTAACGATCATATTTTGCCATCATTGTTGTGAGAAAATTGGGTCAAAAAAGGTTGTATTGTGACAATGTGACAGCTCCACTGATTGAAATATTGTGCATGGGAAAAAGGAAAAAATAAAAAAAAAATGTGCTAGAGATGGCACAAAATGGCTTTTGTTGAAGATGAGTAGATGCCATCTTGAATCAACTAGCGCAGTGGACATGCCATTGCCCCTTTCACGCACATTTATTTACTCGTATGATTTACAGTTGTAATATCGCTCGTGCTCATTTTGTAACAGATTTAAATGAATATCGATATAAATTAACTGAACTGGCCGATTCATATAAATATGTAACAGTATTAAATTCTTGAGAAAAGATTATGTACTAGTTGATACGTCGCGTATCAGTTGATACAACTAACCATAATATTTCAAATAAAACTCTAGGCAATTCTATTTTTACCAATTATTATTATTTTAATCCATAGTGTTATTTCTTTGGGTTAATGGCAAAAACACTAGTTTGGTTTAGGATGCGCTGGAGAGGATCACATATAGTGAGCACTTTAGGAGTATTTTGTATATACTTTACCCTTTTTGTAAATGCACTTATGAAAGAAGAATGAACTTCGAATATTAAAATTAGAGAGTGAAAATGGTATTCCTTTCTAGACTTATCTAATCAATCAAGCAAGTCCGCTTATCACATCTAAATGCATTGAATTAACAATGTCACTAAGATTGCAAATGGACCGAATTGAGCCAAGTTTCAGCTTGTTTGGGGTTGGCTCGTTCGTTTGTGAACTCAACTCGAGATTATAGCGAGTTAAAAAAACTAAACTCGAGTTCAGTTCATTATTAATTTGAAAAGTTTTGACTTGACTTATTTAATGACTAAAATCAGTTGGGCTCAATTTGAATTTGTGTTTAAGATCATTTTAATTCGTTTATAGACTTATATGAGCTCATATGTTCACCAACGGTACATTCATAAAATAAATATATGTATTTACGTGTGATTGTTCATGAACTTAACCTAAGCTTTCAGGAAAGTATTTGAGTAGTATTTACAAGATTACACAAATCAATTCTAAAAATGCTAGAAATTGAGTTTATTCATGAAACAAGTTTAAAAGTTCAACTCGAAGTCGATTAATTTAGTAAATAAACTAATTTGAGCAAATTTGAAAATGAGTTGATGCCAAACTATTATAAAAAAACAGGTCCATTATGACACTGAGAATAAATGTTGAATAAACACAAAAAGTTATAGTGACCAAAACAACAAACAAAGGCATATAAATATTGTAGCAATAATAATGGTGATATTATTATAAGACTTCTGAGATACCCTGAAACAGAAAATACCCCAAATGTTGTAGGGACTGACCAAACCAACAGAAATAGAGATCAAAACTCAAAAGACCTTTCACGTGACTCTCTGACCCTCTTTCTCTCTCTAGTAAAAAACACACAGTGTCACTCTTTCTCTCTCTAGAAAAAAAACACACAGTCACACAGTGTCACAAATTAACGACACTCAAAAAAAGAAGAGGGAACAATGAAACTCAAACAAAAACAAACAATTCATCAAAAGTCTCATCCACTCTCGCTCTCACTCTCACTCTCTCTCCTCTAACAATGCATATACTTCCAATAAGCCTTTTTCAAGGCGTCTTCTCTCTCCTCCTTTTCATTCTCTCTCTACTCGCCGCCATCTCCGCCGCCCAATCGCCGTCGTCCACGGCCAACTCACTCTTACCCTCAGACGCGGTCGCGCTTCTCTCGTTCAAGTCCAAAGCGGACTTGGACCACAAGCTTCTCTACACTCTCAACGAGAGGTTTGACTACTGTCAATGGGTTGGTGTGAAGTGTGTCCAAGGCCGAGTCGTGAGGTTCGCCGTCTCTGGGTTGGGTCTCCGGGGAGAGGTCGCACCCAACACCTTGTCTCGTCTTGACCAGCTCCGAGTCCTGACTCTGCAGAACAACTCGCTCGCCGGAGCGATTCCTGACCTCGCCGGACTCGCCAACCTCAAAACCCTCTTCCTCGACCAGAACTCCTTCTCCGGCACTTTCCCGCGCTCAGTCCTCTCTCTCCATCGTCTTCGCACTCTCGATCTGTCTCACAACAACCTCACCGGTTCAATCCCGACCGAGCTCACCCTTCTGGACAGGCTCAACTATCTCCGGCTCGATTGGAACCGGTTCAACGGCTCGATCCCACCCCTCAACCAGTCCGCTCTCGCAGTCTTCAATGTCTCCGTCAACAACCTCACCGGACCGATCCCGGTCACTCCCACGCTCTCCCGCTTCGACACTTCTTCGTTTTCATGGAACCCTAGCCTCTGCGGGGAGATCATCGACAAAGCATGCGGTTCCAGTACTTCCCCGTTCTTCAACTCCTCCTCCGCCGCCGCCGCCGCCTCGCCGCCTACGCCTCTTATCCAGAACGCACAGGGAGTGGTTATCTCGCCGCCGTCGCCGAAGAAGCACAAGAGAATCGGCGTGATTATACTCTTGGTCATCGCAATTCTAATCCTCATCGCAGCTGTTCTGTGTTGCTTCGTGTTGATCAAAAAGCGACGACACCAAATGTCATCGTCAAAATCAACAATGTCCAGTCCTGAGAATGCAAATACTGATGCTACAAACAACAACACATTGATTATTGTAGAGAATGAACCAGAAGTTAAAGAGAAGACAACCCAGATTCAGATTCAGAGTGTTCAACAACACCGTGAAAAGAGTGGGACTTTGGTGTTCTGTAGCGGCGAAGCAGAGATGTATACTCTGGAGCAGCTGATGAGGGCTTCGGCGGAGCTGCTGGGGAGGGGTACGATGGGGACGACGTACAAGGCGGTGATGGATAGTCGGCTGATCGTGTCGGTGAAGAGGGTCGACGCCGGTAAGACGGCGATTACGACGGGCGAGATGTTTGAAAGGCATATGGAGTTGGTTGGGGGTCTTAGGCACCCGAATTTGGTCCCTGTTAGGGCATATTTTCAGGCAAAACAAGAGAGGCTCATCATCTACGATTATCAGCCAAATGGGAGTCTCTTCAATCTCATTCATGGTAAGCTGTAGCTCTGTTTTTCAATTCTGCTTTTTGTTACTGGTTCATGTTTAACTCACTGATTCACTAGCGAGCCGACGAGTTTATGACTCGGTGAACAATGGTAGCAATTATACAATGCCATTTGTTTGTTTTGTTCGGACAAAAAAAACAGTGTGGAGTCCGTGGACTAATATAGAAAATGGTTTGTGAGATGGTGATGTGGGGTTGGTCCTCGAGTGTGTGGGTGTTGCTGTCTGCAACAGCAGACTTTGGACTCCTAATTTAGATCGTTGATATTATGAGAATTGGGCCTTTTTTTATTATTATTATTTTTTAATTTTTAATTTTTATGGTGTTGTGTGAGTTACAAAATTGCCAACACTAGCATGACACTGGCATGCAAGGTATGCGTTATTTACATACAAAATTCAAAAGCGATTAGTGTTATTTGGCGAACAATGGGAAGGTAGGAGATCAGTTTAATTTACCCTACATTAAATTAAGATGGAACACCTCAAACAGTTGTGTTGATTTGATATGTTGCAATGAAGCCTCCACTATGATTATTCCGAATTTCAAAATTCGAAATATTGGACCTCAATTTAATGTGGAATTAATGCAAACTGACAATACTGATCACATCCCTGTGCCAATGTTGTTGGGTCGAAAATTTACTATTTGGCCTATGTTATAATGTTAATGTTGATCCCTGTGCCACTGTTGTTGGGTCAAAATTATACTATTTGGCCTATGTTATAATGCAAATGGATAAGAGTTTCTGATCCTGGATATTCCACTGTGGAACTGTGCAAATGGCAATACTATATCAACTAGGAAGTTGGAACCTCATTAGATCCCATGGGCTTACTGTATCTGAGCTATGTTATTTTGTATCAGAGAGTTGTTCTTAGATTTTATTTTATTTTATTATTATTTTTTTTTATGTCAATGGCATTTTGATTTGATAAGAAGTCATGACAAAACCCTTTCTCACTCACTGTTAAACATATCTCTGGCTGTTTCTTTTCCCATAGCTACCGCATCCTCTCGTTGACAGTTGGATCAGTTAGTAAGTTCGCTTTTACTCGCATGTTGTTCAACATTTGTCATTGTGATCGCATAATTCAGTGCTTTATGCTACTTAGAGTGGTGCCACTAGATATTTAGCAATATTTGTGTCAGTCAGTCACTTGATGTGTCAAAGTTTCCAAGCTATGGACTGAACTCTAACAGTTTCATTACTAGGGTTGGGGTTCCTGATTCTCTTTTCTTTGGATTCTCTCTTTTAATTTTCTTGAACCTCTTTTTGGGGCATTATCAAGACAAATGGTCAGTACAAGTGGCATTTTAGCTTATAATAGATAGATTAGCATAGATACTTAAAAGACATTTGGAAAGCTTCCTTGGTGGTAATTCCATTGGACTATATATTTGATACGCAACAAGCATGTCAAAGGATTTCTTGTTCTAGTTTCAAATTGAATGTTAATAGATCTTTTATATCCGACATTTATACCTCCATGCATTTTGACACAACTAGTTAGTCGTAAGGATACCACTAAACCAGTCCCCACATTAACCAACTTTTGTTCTATACCAAACTTTTATAAACTATAAGTTCTTCAATATCAATAGCATGACTCTAGATATATGTGAAGTACTATACTATAATTGAAAAAAAAAAATTGCAGAAGATGATGAAATACACATCTACACACACACACACACACATATATATATTTCAATATTTTTAATTGATGCATCAGATTAGGAAATCTGAAGGAGCCATGCAAGTGGGTATTGTGTATTTGTAATTAAATGAGGAAGTAAAGATGAAGAAATCTTACTATCCTGAGTTTTAAGCTGTGTGAATTCTATGAAAAGCAGAGAAAAAAGAGAGTTCCTCACCATCAAAATGCCCCTTAATTTAATCTATTTTTCTGCCTGGTTCCCAAAATATATAGTCTCAATCTAGATTTCTCACCATTAAACTGCCCCTTAATTGAGTCTCTTTTTCTGCCTGTTTACCAAATTGCATAGTCTCACTCTATTTTATCTGTGTCTGTGTTCTCTTTTTCTTTAGAGTATGTATAAGTGTTTGTGTGCAGAAATTGGCATAGTGGAGAGTTAACCATGTGTGTGTCTGTAATAAATGTGGTAAAATAAGAGGAAAAAAAATGGGGGGCTAGTCCAGTCTACGAGGCTCCTACCATTGCGAGGATGTGGTAAAATAGGAGAATGGGTATTCAAATGATTGTTATTTTGCAGCACCTAGGTATGGATTTTATTTAATTGTGGAACATGTGTTCATATAGATATGGAATGGCCACATTTCAACACAACGTCTTTGGTTTCCCTATTTTATTCTTTGTTTCTTCCTTCTTTTTCTCTCTTTCTGAACTTCGTCCGAAATCCTTTTTTCTTTCATAAGGCATCCTTTCCAATAAAGTTTCTTTGTTTCCAATAACTCTGATGAATCCGATGAATCCTTTGGACTTATTATGTCTCTTTCTAACAGCCCTGCTTGGAAGTTCTGTAACAGCCATATTAGGGCCACATATGTTCCTAAAATCCGGCCACGAAGGCTGTTATATTGCAGCCATAGTAACATCCATTCTCCAGCATATAATAAGTTCTTTCTATTTTCATATAGAGAGCATGTGGCTAGCCTTAAGAAAGTCCTGCTAAAGGTTCTAGATAATGTTGTATTTTGGTGTATATATTATAAATTGTAGATTGTATGTGTCTTGAGAGTATTAGAAATATATTTGAACACGAGTTAATTGATGAATTCTATAATCCAAGTCATGTCTTATTAACAAATGTGATATTAGGCTCATTTACATACAAAATGCCTATTACACAACGTACTCATTACTACTAAGGGCTTAATCATCAAACCTCCTGGGCTTTCATGTCTAGGGGTATAACTATTGTTTTTACTCGAAGATGCATAATCTCACACATTTCCAGCAAAGAAAAGAACTAGTCACAAATTCCTTACCAAGCATAAGAGGAAATGTTGAAACTTACTCTTAGTAAAACATGTACAGGTAATTACATTGCCTCGATATATATACTCATATATATTTCAAATGTCTGGTTTTGATTCATTACATGTTATGCTTTTTTTTCTCCGTAACTAATACAAGATTGGAAATGTGGATAGGTTCAAGATCAACCAGAGCGAAACCTCTTCACTGGACATCGTGCTTAAAAATAGCAGAGGATGTGGCTCAGGGTCTTGCTTACATCCATCAAGCATCAAAGCTCGTCCACGGCAATCTGAAATCCTCCAATGTCCTCCTTGGTGCAGACTTCGAGGCCTGCCTCACGGATTATTGCATCTCTGTCCTTGCAGACTCTTCTTTGATTGACGATCCCGACTCTGCAGGCTACAAAGCCCCTGAAATCCGCAAGTCTGGCCGTCGGACCACTGCCAAGTCTGATGTTTATGCCTTTGGCATTCTCTTATTAGAGCTTCTGACAGGTAAGCCTCCTTCACAGCACCCATTTCTCGTGCCCTCCGATATGCCAAATTGGGTTAGAGCGATGAGGGAAGACGATATCGGGGAAGATGAACAGCTTGTAATGCTTGTTGAGGTAGCTGGTATTTGTAGCTTGACGTCACACGAACAGAGGCCGACAATGTGGCAGGTGTTGAAGATGATACAAGAGATGAAAGAGAGTGTAATGGTAGAAGATTATGCAAAGAATGCACAAATCGGATATTCATAGTTTTGTTTTGTAATTACAGGAATGGCTGCAAAGAAGAGAATTGAGTTCGAGGCATAGTCGAATGTCTCCTTGGATGGTATATGTCCTAAGAAATTATAGTAGGGATTTTTGGGGGTTGAAGAGGAGCTTAGGAATGAATTATCATTTTGAGATATGAATTCTAAGCTATTGTTCTTCATGTTGAAGTTTTGCTTCTTAGAGCTAATTTATAATATGCTTTTCAAAGCTAACTTACCGGTTTGCGAGTTTAAGGTACATGAACTCAAAACATGAGGTTTGTCGTGAAGGTGGTGAATATTGCAGCATCTAGTGAAAATGGAGTTCTCAATAGGTGGTGTTGGGGATGGCATGCTCACTTGGTGCCACTTGCTGTCTGGTGGTGTTGGACTCTGATGGTGCCTTCGGCTTTGGTGTTGTTGAGTGTCATGGAAATGTGGTTGATGATGATTATGAAGGGTACGAAAACTAAGCAAAATATAACTTTTAACTTTACAAAGGTGATTATCAATTCAACTCCAAGGGTATAGCTAATGGCAAAGACTTCTACATTCAGAATGACACCAATGAATGGGACTTTTTGGTCACAACCAAGATATAACACAATGACCAGACTTGGCCTTCCATACATATATCAAATTTTTAATGAAATTTCAGTTTAAAAAATTTCAGTTAAAAAATGTCTGCCTATGTAACTCCGGGGTTGACACCAATTAATGGTGAAGTTTTGAGACTTAGTATCTCAAATTTGAATCCTCTTGAGGGCGATCAACTTTTTAGGTGGCACAATCGTAAATATAGTTCGAGTTTTATCTGTGTGGAAAGATCGCTTTAGAGAGTCTTGTAAATTAGTCGGGCAAAGTTCTATATACCGGTTATCGAAAAAAACAATGTCCACTTATATATAATGAGGTTAAACCTCGTTTATTTTTTATTTTTTAAAATGATAATATATATATAAAAAATAACTAAATTTTGTGTATATCTTCTTTGAATATACTACAATATTTTGTCACAATCATTGTGATTCAATTTGATTCAATCCCTGTCACAACAACTTATTCCATTTATAGCATATTTCACATTCAAATTCCATATAATGGCATGCTTAGAATATTTGTAAAATAATCAAATCATGCACTAGATGTTTCTAGCTAGGAGAGTTCTAAAGCGAATATAAATATGTAGAATATTTTGTAGGGTATTCTAGAGAGTTAATCTTGACTGTTTGTGGTAATACATCTCAATCATCCATTGAAATGGTAGATGCATATAAAAGGATATGTCTATGCTCCAAATGGAAGGTAAAGCCTCCGAAAAAAAAAAAAAAAATTAAATTTATAAACAATGATAGAAGAATTTGTTAAAGTTGTGGACAACAACTTTCTCTGATGTTTTTTGGTCCATTATAGCAGTACAACACGAAAAGTTGTTCATTGTAAGCAGCGCATGTGCTAGAGAATTGGATCTGGAGCAATCAAATTTTTTGAATTTTTTTTTACTACCTCCTAAATGTTAATTAATTTATAAAGTTTGTCTCTAAACTTATTACAATTTTTAATTAACCCCCAATACTTTTAACACATGTATTGATGAATCAAGTTTTTTGAAAATTCTATTAATAACCTCTAAATATTAACTAGTCTACTGGGGTGGGGTGGGGTGCTTGTGGTCAAAAGTTCAATATTGTATGGGGTCATTTTTTTTGAGTAAATAATTATTATAGTCGTCATCGCAACACATTGGTTATTTTATTTATATATACACGTACAATATCTATAATATTAATTCAAGAGAGAAAAAAAAAAGAATAAAATAATTAATGTTCCGCATGTTTGGTAAAAATGCATGAAGCATTTTTTGTCAAATATTTTTGTAAAATGTTATTTACAAGAAAAATAATATAACAATCTTTATTGGTAAGTCCCAGGAATATTTGGAAAGAAGATAAACTAAAGTATTGTGAGACTCTCAATAATAATATCATCTATGTTTATACTTTTAGTTCTCACTTTCTAAATAACAAATTTTGTAACTATTTTTATCTTGTTTAATAACCCAATAATAACCTTGTTGAAGTTTTGCTTCTTAGAGCTAATATATAATATGCTTTTCAAAGCTAACTTACTGTTTGCAAGTTTAAGGTACATGAATTCAAAACATGAGGTTTATTGTGAAGGTGATGAATATTGCAGAAGCTAGTGAAAATGGAGTTCTTCATAGGGGTGGTGGGGATGGCATGCTCACTTAGTACCACTTGCTGTCTGCTGGTGTTTGAAGGGTATGAAAACTAAGCAAAATATAACTTTAACTTTACAAAGGTGATTAACAATTCAACTCCAAGGGTGTAGCCAATGGCAGAGTGGGAATTCGAATTCTCGTACGGTCGCTTGTAGGGAAATTTGGAATTTTTTTTTCTTTTTATAATTGCCTGGTACATGCAGGACGGGAGATTGCTAAAATGATTAGTGTATTCATGATTGAAAAAAGAAACCGAACAAGAAGATAGACTCAATGCTTTCATACTTTATAAAAATTGTGACAAATTGTATATATTGGTTGCTTTACAAGGAGGAAATAAAACATGATACAAGAATGTGATAACATATCTCAAGGAATTGATGAATGTTTTGCTCGACTTTTCTAATGTAATTCTAGATTTGAGCCTTTCAGGTAGTATGTTTGTGGACGTGGTTCAGCCACGTCACCAAAGTTCAAGTCAAATAGTCAACACCTTGACAAGATTCACCTCAACAAGGTGAGCAATAGTCGACTGTTGGGCCTCAAACTTTGAACCAAACATTCGGTCGATGGATCCTGGGCCTTGAACCACGAGCCAATCTCCGCAGTCAGTCGATAGGCCTTGAACCTCGATCTAGCCTTCACAATTTGTCGATCGACGGGCCTTAAACCTCGATTCGACCCGATCACAATTTGTCGATCGACGGGCCTTGAACCTCGATCCGACCCCATCACAATTTGTCGATCGACTGGCCTTAAACCTTGATCCGACCCCATCAAAATTTGTCGATCAACGGACCTTGAACCTCGATCCGACCCCATCACAATTCGTCGATCGACGGACCTTGAACCTCGATCCGACCTGATCACAATTCGTCGATTGACGGGCCTTGAACCTCGATCCGACCCCATCACAATTCTTCGATCGACGGGCCTTAAACCTCAATCCGACCACATCATAGTTCGTCGATCGACGGGCCTTGAGCCTCGATCCGGCCACATCACAATTCGTCAATTGACGGGCCTTGAACCTCGATCCGACCACATCACAATTCGTCAATTGACGGGCCTTGAACCTCGATCCGACCCCATCACAGCTTGTCAATCGACGGGCCTTGAACCTCGATCCGACTGTTTCACAGCTTGTCGAGCGACAGGCCTTGGGCCTCTGATCTTGTCACAGTTTGACGACCGACATATCCTGAACCTCGAATCAATGTAGCAGCAAACCATCAATTGATGGGCTTTGAGCCTTTATTCAAGCAACAAAGAGCTATGGTAGAGCTCTTCGAGTGACATTGAGATGTAGAAGGGATTTTGGAATGGAGGATGGAAAATTAGTAATGTCTTGCCCACTAAGGCAAGACCCAGGATAGAAGTAAAGGACAACTGGAATAGTACAATCGCCTTTACAGCCAGTCATTCTTGGATTATTCAACAGAAAAGGTACACTTGGCAGTTGATCTAAAAATATAGGGATTAGGGCAACATGACCCAAAGAGGCATGATTCTGACCCGCTTTAAAGATGGAGGCCCAACAATGTACCACCTGGATGACCTAGGGTTATAAAAAGGAGGCAGTGACAAAAAGAAACGGGGTAAGAACTGACGGCAGCTCCTTCCCTACCATTGCTCAAGATTCTCTTTCTGGACTGATTTTCTCTCCCTTCTTTCTACCCTTCTTCATTCCCAGACTTTCTTGACTCTTCCAGGACCCATGCAGAAACAGGTATCTATAATGTCATATTTATAATAAAGAATATTTCCATTTCTAATACATAATGCTCATAAAAACATTGGTTTTCTCTTTGATTTGTACATCTAAAACCATTACAGTGACTGGGTTTAACAACTTCGGCTTACAGTAGTGTGCTTTCGGTCACGTGTATTTTATTCTATGGTACAACCAAGATATACAATGACTACACGTAGCCTTCCATACATGATTATTTTATTTATTTATTTTTATTTTTATTTTTTTTTTGGTACTCACATACATATACCTCTTGAATCCCTAACCTTTTTTTAGAAGTAAAAACTTGGTACCGCTAGGCCAGTGACATGTTAGTCTTTCCATATATGATACATGTATCAAATATTTAGGTTCATAAATTTAAGCTAGTAAAATATTTTTTTCCTAAAATATTTTCTATGTAATACTTTTTCATGTAAAATGTTTTTATTTTTTATTTGTTGGTGTTTGACAAAGATTTTGAAAATTTATTTTATTTTATTCTATTTTTTTTTTGTGTCTGGCTTCTAGACGTATTTTTGAATTAAAATTAATTTTTTTATATGAGTCATTGATTATTTAATTTTTCTCTTACTATCAATTGGTCCAATTATTTTTATACCAACAATAATAATTAATTGACAAGAAATATAAAAAAAAATAAGTAATTGATTTTTTAAAAAGTGATAAGGAAATAGAAACAAGTCTCACTATCATTGAATGCAACAAGTGAGTTTTTTTATTTTTTATTTTCCACTTTACGTATCACTTTTTAAGATTTTAGAAAGTAATACTATAGGTTAATCACGAAGCTAATAACGATGACAAAAAAAAAGAAGTAATAAAAGCAAATTGAAGAAATTAACCAAAAATAGAAAATTATATGATTGTTGTTAAAGAAGAGATTGGCCTCTGCCTCTTGCGCCACAATAGGTGTTGGGCTTATTGGCTTTTCTTTGAATAGTTATTTTGTTTGTGATCAATATAACACATGTCTCTAAAAATTCTCTCTTTATTAAATGGTTTTTTTTTTTTTTTTCCCTTTCTATAGATGCCCTCTTTCTTTCTCTAAACTCTCTTTCTTTAGACTGTTTTTTGGCCACCATGTAACTTTTCTATGCACTTGATTGATGTTTTCGATTTTATATGCTTTTGTTGAGGAGATTAAGAGTAAAATTGATAAATTCGGAAAATTTGGGATGATTAATTGGTAAGTTGTTATGATTAAGTTTTGGGAAATTATTTTCCTACTAAAAGATTTTCTTTGAATTTGGGACTACCAAAGGAAAACACAAAAATAAAAAAATTTAGAAAATATTTAACGGGTCTTAGGATAAGTTTTCGCATAAATATTGTTTTATTTATATTTGGCAACCCTAATTCAGTGAACTCTTAGTTAAAAATGACCACCTATATAACCATTGGTGAGATTCTGGGACTTGGTATCTTATGAAGCATTAAGTATTATCAGGTTTAGGGATGGCAATGGGGTGGTTTGGGACGGGTTTTCCATTCCCCATCCCCGCCCCCGTTTAATTTTGGTGCCCCTAAAACCGCTCCATAACCGGTTAATTTTTTGCCTCTAATCCCCATAACATCCCTCGCCTCCGCCCCACTTGCCCCACCCCCGCCCTATCACCTGCCCCATAATCGATTATATTTTTATTTAAACACAATCATAGCACGCGCGCACACACACACACACATAGATATATATATATGGAAGTGTTAAGTGTAGGGTTTCCAATATATATAGAGAGAGAGTGTGTGTGAAGGTTAATTTGGTAAATATATTAACATGGTAGGATAAATTAGTAATTTAAAATATTTAACGGGGCGGTTATGGGGCGGGTAAGGGGCGAGGATGTCAGTCCCCCGCCCCCGCCTCGCAACCGGCCGATTTTTTTTTTTTTTTAACCCCCATCCTCGCCCCATTTAAGTAAACGGTTCTCCAAACCCGCTTTAAATGGGGCGGGGGCGGGGCGGTTCCCCACCGGATTGGGGATTTTTGTCACCCCTAATTAGGTTTGAATCATCTCGAGTGCGATCAACTCTTCAGGAGCCACGACCACAAACATAATTCGAACTTTACCCATTCTTGTGCAGGGATCGCTTTACACAGATTTCGTAAATTAATCGGGGTAAAGTACTTGATACCTCAATTATGAAAAAAAAAAATTGTCCACCTATATACAATAGGTAACGTTTTTTTATTTTTTTAAAAATATATATATAAAAGAAAACAACTAAATTTTGTTTATATCTTATTTGAATGTGCTACAATATTTTCTCAACAATCATTGTGATTTAATTTGATTCAATCCTTGTCACAAGTAGGGATGTCAATTTTTACCGCCCCGTTAATAACGGATATGGAAACACTTTTTATACCGTTGGGAGGCATGGATACAAATTTTGTACCCGTCACGGGTCACGGGGTAGGTAAGGGTTTATTATACATATCCAAGGGGTCCCGCCCCGCCCCGCTAAACATATAACTATATATATATATATATATATATTAATAACTTATTTTAGCGGCTTACCCAGTTACCCATCTCTTACAATCCTAATTTGGGATGTAAACTTGGCATTAAATTTGCTTTTGTTTTGGTTATGGTGGAAGTTGGAACTTAGAACTTATTGTGATTTGGTTATATTAAACTTTTATTTTTGTTTATTATGTTATCTGAATTATGTTATGTGCAAGTTATTTTTTTTATCTTTGTTGGGATACATAATTTCATTTATGTTGTGCTATTATCAGGCTTTCCACATTTAAATAGTAGAAACTTAAGTTCCAAAAAGTGGGAGAAATAAATTTGTTAGCAGGGCGAGTACGGGAGCACAGTATTTCTCAACGGGGCGGGGCTGGACATGAAAATTCAACCCGCCGCGAGTCTCGGGGCGGGCATGGACTTGATAAAAATTAAAAAGGGCGAAATGAAATTTAGAGAAGCTCTCTCAAAATCTGTCCCGTTGCCATCCCTAGTCACAAGGAGTTCTTTCATTTATGGTGACTTCAAAATTATGTAATTAATGGACACTTTAAAAATGCGAAGTGCCAGCGCGTCTCCCACATGCATATTTCACATTCAAATTCCTTATAATTGCATGCTTACAATATTTGTAATTAATCAAATCATGCACAAGATGTTTCTAGGCGAATCCTAAAGCGAATATAAATATATATAATATTTTGTAGGGTATTCTAGAGAGTTAATCTCGACTGTTTGTGGTAGTACATCTTAGTCATCCATTGAGATGGTCCATCCATATAAAACGAGATCGAGGCGTGATTGCTCCTCTAAGAGGTCCAAACAGTAGGTAAAGTTACGGGAAAAAAAATATTTATAAACAATGATGGAAGAATTTGTTAAAGTTTTGTACAACAACTTTATGATATTTTTTTCTCAATTATAGCAGCATGACACGGAAAATTGTACATAGTAAGATTGTTCACTAGAAACCATAGGAATTACCGTTGCTGTTTGTTATGTTAAAGTCTTTTGTTAGGGTTATGTATACGTTGTTGTAACTGTTTCGTTAACATGGCCGTGCTTTAAGACAGAAAAAATAATAACATGTTTTGTTTTTATTTTATTTTTTTTAGAAAAAACAAAATCCTTAAAAATAATTAAAAGTTTAATATTTAATTTAATTAATTTATTTATTTATGAACTAGTCTAGTATTTTCATTGCATGTTTTAGTTCGAGTTTTATTTTTTTTAACCAAACAACTTGCTGTTAGTTTAAGTTCCTGTCCCAAGGGACATATGAACTCTTTATTGTGAAGGTGGTGAGAGCAGCAAATACTGAACTGGAGTTATCTATGGGGCAGTGGTGATCGTATGCTCACTGGTGGTGCAACCAGTAAAGCGGCGGAAGGGGCTGCATCATTGATGGTTGTTAGAGGGGCTTTGTTTTAAGTTTGTGGTACCACTTACTGTCTATGTACCGGTAGTGGCCGTTGGGAGCTAGAATTTCAATTCGGGTGGTAATAAATAAAAAAATTATATAAAAAAAAAAGATAGAAAAAATATCTATTAAGAATTTGTTAGGTTAATATTGAAGAGATTCTCAAAAATCGTGCATCCGAAGATTACAAATAATATATATACGGAAAGCTTATGAAATAAGGATTTCATAAATATAATATTTGTACAACATATCATTATAATCAGAGACAAATAGACAATCTAATAATATGTTACAGCAATCTTATTTTATTTTTAGAAATATTTGGAATATTTGTAAGAATTATTCATTTACATATGAAGCATAACATATAAAAAATTTAGCTCTAACAAATCATTTTGATATATATATATATATATATATATATATATATTTAAATGGTGAGTTTATAATAAAATGAAAATACTTGAAGCTCAAAATGATATTTCATGAAATCGGTCTTTATACATCGTTCATTTTTTAAGGTTGGATCCATATTTTATTTGATGAGTGCAAACACTATATATATATATATATATATATATATATATATATATATATAAAAGGGAGGAAAATGAGGCTATGGTGGGATTTAGATGACCTCTTCCCATCTCTCTAACTCTATCAGTCTTGCATTTTCTATTTTGTGCTTATCATCGTTAATCTTTATTTGCACAGCAAGCACACCAAACTGCTAAAAAGATTAAGGAGGATCCAGCATTCCAACTTATCATCGAAATGCGCTATAGGAACCTAACTCCTTAAATTACCTTTGCAACTAGGCTGACAATTTGTATCGGTGAGTTATAATATAAATATTGTGATAAATAAGTGAATTTTTTAATAACCGTGTCAGAAATTTTCAACACAACATTACTCATTTACTAAATGAATAATATGACATGATTTGTATAACCCATTTAATAAATGAATCATATAATTAAACAACTCGTTTAATTTAATGATCTATTTAACTTAATTTGGCAATGTAACTCATTAATTGACTTAGGTATAAAATGTAAATATAATGAAAATTTTGAAATAATGAATGGCTAAATTCAAAAAAGAATGAGAATAATTAGGACCACACAATTAAAAAAATAAATCCAAACACAATATAAATATTGAATTTATATTGACATAATATAAATATTTGAAGTAATTGAGTTACACGGTTACATGTTCATCAGGTTGACCAAATATGGTTACACAATTAAATAAAATGGGTCTAATTAGGTTGAAGTCAATTCAAACTTGTTAATTTCCTATTGTGTTTCAATTAGGACCCAACTTGGGTTGGGCAACCCGAGCCCAATCCAATTTTCATGGGCTTGGGCAATATTTTTACATTTAGAGTTGTGATTGGGTTGAAAAATCTCAACCCAAATTTAATTAGAGTTAAGCTTGGATTAAGGTGCTAGTAACATGAGTCGACCCGAACTCAAATTCTAATATTATTTAAATATATATTTAAATACGTTATATATACTCCGTAATAATTAAACTATGATTACCTTTTTTCTTTTCAACTTTTTTTATTGAATCTTAATTTATTGTATGTTAATACTTAGGAGAAATAATTTATTAAAAATTTGTTTGTAATTTATTAAAAATCTGTAATAAGTTTCAAATTTTTTGTTGTTATTTAAGAGTAATTAATCTGAAACTAATTCAAGATCACATTAAATTTTGGTGTGAAAATTAGCCATATAGTTTTCAGATTAAAAAATAAAAGAATTGGCTAGGCTCGGGTTGAGTAATTAGGTTTGAAAATAGGGTTAGAATTGGATTCGAGTTGAGCCTTTCATATGTTGAATTGAACTCGAGTTATACCTCAAATCTGTCCGAATTGCAACTCTAATTTCAATGAAGCCGGTATTTTATCAATGTAGACATAGAAAATCAAGTATTAGAAATTAAGAAAGGTATAATATCTATAAATATAAACAAATTTATTCAATTTAAGAATTCAAATTCAGTGCTTGTGTCTAATTGTAGTGTATTAGATATGTGCTTTTTAGCTTTTTAACCTAATGCTATCCTCACTGAAAAAATAAAAAAAAAAAATAAAAATTATGCTATCCTCGTGGGATTACTTAGCAATTGTTTTTTATTTATTTTAATATTAGAAATTGCCTAATAATTTATCCTTAAATACCCAGCAAGTCATGAGCTTTATTCCACATAGCGGCGTGGATTTCACGCCATGATAGAAAAGTATACTACGTACTAATTCCATTGACTTTTAGTTGGTCTCTCTATAAGATAATATTAATATAAATATGTATAATAACAATGCAGAGAAACAGCGGCTTTGGAATTGGATCCAATTTGTGTCTGATTATATTTGATTCTACTGCTCATTCATAGAGAGACAAAGCGTAGAGAGCGAAACTGAGAAATGTCTGGAGGTATAGCGCGTGGCCGTCTTGCCGAGGAGCGAAAAGCCTGGCGGAAGAATCACCCTCATGTTCGATCTTCCCCTCCCTTTCTCTCTCTACATACATACACATATACATATAGATATATATATATATATATATATATAATCATATCTGTATTGTGTTTGTTGAAATTCCATGGAGATCTTTTCTAATTCTGTTCTGTTTTTCTTAATTCACGCGTTTTCCTTATTCAATTGTCTTGATTCTAGGGTTTCGTTGCCAAACCAGAGACTCTACCCGATGGTTCGGTGAATCTGATGGTATGGCTGTGCACAATCCCTGGTAAGGCCGGGGTAAGTTTTTTTCTCTATCATCTTCTTCTGCATGGCTTGTCACCGTACAATTTACAGACCCTTTGAATTTTACTGCCATGTGAAAGAATTAGGTTCTGTTTGTGATTTCTGCCTCTATCACCTTCAGTGTGGGATTGTTATTATTATAGATGTTGTTTTTGATTGCTTGGTCATTTCTGTTATCAATATTATCATTTTCCATTGTTGTAATTTGGTTTGGTTAGTCACTTAATTAGTTGCTTAACTATTGTGTGTGTGTTGAGGATTTGTTTTACTGTACTTTGTGAATTTGTGTTGCTTAAGCTTGGTGGTTGTAATATTTTAATGGGGACTCTATGGCTGGATGGAGGAAATTCTTAGGGTGCTTGCCGACAAGGAAAATGGGATTAATTTATTTCGGTGATCACAAGGAATGTTTTCTTTGTTATTATTATTATTATTATTATTTTAATTTTTAGGGAAATTACACTGAAGCTCCCCTAACTTGAACTTAAGCAAAAATACACATGAGCCGTGTTCAAAGTCTAGAAGTGCTGATGTCAGCAAGAAAAAGATCTCTAATACCCATTTTTCTCTTCTAACTTGTTGGAATACCATATAGTCAATCAAATTTTTATCCCTACCACAACTAAGATTAAAAAACGCTCTCACCTATTTTTTTTTTTTTTTTTTGGTTTTTTGTTGTGTTAGGTTCGGTATGAGGAGTTGATTTATTCTAAATATTTCTGTTATATAAGTTTTGTGTGAAATCTGATAGGTGTCCCTTGAGTTATATAAGCATGAAAAGTATTTATTTGTTTCAACCTATGTTACATGGACTCAAGTATTGTGCCGGGTGCTGGTATGAATCCAAGCATTAGATGTGTCATATCTCCAAATAGGACACACAGTCATTGTTTAATATTTTAAATTTATATAGAGAAAAATAATTTCTTTATGTAATGGTGTTCAAGATATGCATTTCACTCATTTAAAGTAATAATATAACTAACTTGAACTATTAGATATGTTTTTTAGGTGCATGTTCAACCAAAAGAGCCGGACATATCCCATTTCCATGTTCAAGTATTGTATGTTCAACACGGGTACTTCACCTACTTTTGAATAGTCCATGTAACATGGGTTTCGACAAGAATGACATAAACATTATTTTTTGTATTTTATTTTTTATTTTTTATAAAGCTTATAGAAAATGGTCTCCTACGATACTGTTTATTTTTATAAGCTCCTGAAGCCTTTTGTTTTCAATATTTCTACATAACTTTCTGTAAGTTTCTTTAATTGTTCCTTAAGACTTCACATCTTTTTCTTCCCAAACAGAAACTGTTTAATATTTCATATTAATTTTATCATATTTCCTACAAATTTTCATATTGGATTCTTTATTGATTTGAGACCACCTCTCGTCTTACATTCCACATGGTCTACTTTAGCCCTCCCCCCACCAATCCACCAAATTTATGCATTTCATTCCATTGTACCTACGGTATAGTTTGGACAAGTCAGGCAAAGAAGTAGCACCTTAATATAATGACAATGTCCAATCATTCTCGATCATTGTTCTACAACCATCTCATTTTCGAATCATTTTTGGTAGCTTTAAAACTCCTTTCCCTCCCCTCCCCTATTATCTAGAAAAGGGCCAGGCTATGCAAGAAGCTTCCGCCAGGGCAAGGTCTAGGGAGATCAGATTTACATAGCTTACCTCCGCTTGCGGAGAGACTGTTTCCCATTTCGATTCCGTGACCTTCACAATGTTGGAACCTTACCATTGCGCCCAGGCCTTGTCTCTATCTTTGATTTTTTATTCCTGATCCAATATTCAAAATTAAGCCATATCAGTATTCCATTTTCCCTATTCTTTTTATATTTTTTCAATTTGATCAGTATTTATTTTTCGCCAGATAATATTTGATTGATATGACTATATCATTTCTTTTATTTGCTAACCATATCATGGATCTTGCAACATGTTATCTGATGTCACTTATTTTGATAACCTGGGGCTACGATGTTATCACTTTTCATTTAGAGAATAAGGATTGAGACGTGGATTTTTGCCCATTAAGTATCAAATGTGTTCATTTCTCTATTTATTTATTTGTTTTCTGATTTTTGTATATCCTGAGACCTTGGTTGGGACAGTTCTCCTGTATTCATCTATTTCTGTCTTTTGGTTGTACTTTTTGAATTACCATGAGACCCCAACATGAATGCATGGAGGTAAAAAAAAAAAAAAAAAACACTTTGTTGCCCATCCGTACATAAAATGCAACTATCAAACACTTAAGGGGTTGTTTTATAAGTTTTTACCCCTTGTAAGCATTATTTACCTTTGAGAAGAGTAACTTGTTACTACCAAAATGAAAGTTTTCACTTGTTAATGGTCTGAATTTTCTGTTGAATGATCTTGGTTGAGGACCACATTAAGTTAAAATTTGAATTGACAAATTTATCATTAAATGTTACTTCTTGTACTTAAAATTCTTACTACTAATTTCTAACAGTAATTTTAAGCATTAAATTTCTGGTTTTATCAAGCATGTCCTAAATTTTCGTGAAAGGAACTGGAAACTGTGTAAGGGTCAGAATTTAGTGCTGATATATAAACTTAATATAATGATAATTGGAATTTTATTGAATCTAGTCATTATACTCCGACCTTCCCAATTTTGATGTTCCTTTTGGAGATTCTAGGTTTTATAAAAAGTGACATTTCATGTGTACATATTGCATTAGTGAAGGTTGAAAATTTAAATTGTCACTCTAAAATTTACTTTTTACCATATTGATATGTGTGCTAACTTTCCAAAAAATGTTAAATTAGGAAATTTGTGGAATCATAGAAATGAGGCCGTGCATGAGCAAGTATTATACTTTTAGTTGGCTTCTACTGCAGTTGCAAAAAAGATGAGTGGAAAAACATTTTCTTTGTTTCAACTTCCCTTTTAAAATAGAATTTGTACATGTTGAGTTCTTTATGTGGCAGTTGCGTCTTTTTCCTTTGTTTTGTTTATAGTTCAGTTGCATTGCTGCACAAGTTTATCAGTTGACAGAAAACTACTTGAATAATAGGGCAAACTTCAATCTTCCTTTCCTTCAACATTCTGTTTTGTGTTGCCTTTCATCCCTTTTGCTTTTTCCATAACAATGAAAGCATGTGGCAGGGTATTTTTTAAGTCTTGTGTAGCAGCTAATTGCAAAAAGCTTCTCGTGACATTCTATCATTGAAGGTTCAATTGAATGGCTTCCAATGGTACTTCAATATGTGATTGAACACTTGGTGGATATTTGTATGTTCACAATGTTAGGAGAGTCCTAAAGGAGCTTATTTTCTTTTATATATTGATAGAGATTAGGTAGGTCCACCATTAATATGCTCATGGGATTCATTAAATTTCCCAGGGAGAACTTAAAGTTTTCCTCATATTTTCCCCCATTGACAAAGGTAAGGTATATGTCAATTTCCGAATAAGAGGTTAGGTGGTCTGTTTCGTAGGACTGGTAGATAATTCGTGGTCCTTTTGTCTAAAATTAGAAAGAGTAATTTGAAGCTGTGATGAATTAGTTGTTGCTACAAGTAGCACTGAAAGAATTTGAGTTGAGACAAACAAATTTACGAATTTCAGGGATTGGCGTTGCCTCTATCCTTTTAGGTTGATTATCAAAAAGTCTATATCTGTGCTACTTATTACACGAAAAAAGAGTCTATTCCTGTGTTAGGGATCATAAATTATACTTATCTTTCTTCCCTTCTGTCCATAAACCCAGATATGAAAGCATTTGTTACATGGATTATTGTGCACGGTGAGTTTGCTCTTGACTAGGATTCTCCTTGATTTATTTAGCTATGGAGGAAGTGAATAAGATTGAGAATAAGTTCAATAAACAAATTGTAGAGGAATTTTATCACTTTTTTTTTGGGTACTTATTGGCCATTGTTTATAATTTTTGCAAGTTTTGGAGGAATTAAAATATAGATGCAGAATAAGTTCAACAAATTGTTGAGGAATTATATCACTTCTTTTTGTATTTCTTGGTTGTCCATTTGTAATTTATTAATACGTTTTATTACAATTATTTCCTTTGTTAATTCATTGATTATACTATGGCTTTAGATCATTTTCAGGAGAACCATTTACAGTGGGTTTATTCATGGCTTCATGCCTGTTCTATTCTGTTTAATGTTTAAAATATGAGGTTTTAATAGATTCAATAAAAGAAAGTAAAGATAACAAAACATAAAGCTGTTTTTCTTGAATTGTTACCGTGTCTTCTATTATAGTTTTGCTGACATGAACATTCATGACATGTAATGATTGCAGACTGATTGGGAGGGTGGTTACTACCCACTTGCACTCCATTTTAGTGAAGATTATCCTAGCAAACCACCAAAGTGTAAATTCCCCCCTGGTTTCTTCCACCCTAATGTCTACCCATCTGGAACTGTTTGTCTGTCAATTCTCAATGAGGACAGTGTAAGTACTGCTTTCGTTTTGACAAATGCTTGGTAGTATTATGGAATTACAATGTTGGATTGGGGATGATTTTATTTTTGTGGGTATAGGGATGGAGACCAGCCATCACGGTGAAGCAAATTCTTGTTGGCATACAGGATTTGCTGGACCAGCCCAACCCCTCGGATCCTGCACAGACTGAAGGATATCATCTCTTCATTCAGGTACTTACGGCTTCTTTAAATTAGAAGTATGATTCCCCTCAGCATATATGTAATTTCTCTCAAACTACATTGTGGTCCCCTGTGGGGAGAGTGTTCTGCTTCACTTCTCACATTGCAGCACATCAATGTTTGGAAGAGCTCTGTCATTTGTGCCCTGAATGATCAGGTAAAACACTGGAAAGGCTTCCTGTTTTTTGTGTAATGATGGAAAAATTCTTCGTGCCAGTGTGGTGAAATATGATTATTAGTGGCCTGATGAACTGTAAGAACAGTTTGCCTGCGATCAGATATTTCTCCGGTGGCCACATTCAGCCATGCAAAGCCTGCTGCTTGATTTTTAAAGGTTTGGATCCAGCATATGCTTTGCTTCCATTTAGAAGCAATTGTTGAAAAACTTCGTATTATTAAATGATCTAACCAATAAAATGTTGGTATACTTCTTACGAAATATAACTTGCCTGAATATTCCCGCAAAATAATTTGTATATTGAATGATCAAATACATATTCTTGTCAACTTCTTTGTGGTTACACTTTAAAGTAGGACCCTTCAGACTCTGTATCCTGATTGTTGAAAAATAAAGTCACTCTAGATGGATGAACAAATGTCTGTTGATTTTTCTGAAAACAGACAAGATCCTAAAATAGAGATAGACTAGGATGGGAGTTGTTAATATTCTGACGCTGAATCATTCAAATACCTATGCAGGATGCTGTGGAGTACAAGAATAGGGTCCGGCTGCAGGCCAAACAATACCCACCTCTCATCTGAATATTGATACTGGTTCGATTGAAATTGTTGGTGTTTTGGAAATGATCAAGCTGCCCTTGTGTAAACTGCATTAGACCGTATAAAATACTTCTCTGGTTTTGAATAGTCTTCTGTTTATATATGATGCTCATTGGAGATAAACTTGATCTCAATTCATAACAGGATGTTCGTTTCATGATTACTTATAAAATATAAAAATGGCGTCTGTATAATATGCCAATGTACCTCCCCTTCAAAGAGTAGCAGCATAAATTTGTGATATTAAAGCAGGAATGAGAATCACCTAGTGGAGCATTTGAAGTTACTGGTCCAGGTACCTTTGATGTTGGTTTGAATTGATGAGTAGCTTGAGCCTACTCTCTCTCTCTCTCTCTCTCACACACACACACACACACACACACACAATCAGTGGACTAAAGGGCATACAACCTGCACTTGTGATGCCTTGGTGAGTACTAGTGAATATTTTATTTGTTTCTCTGTTGGAAATAGCTCTGTGGCTGGCACTTCTCTGTGTGCCTCCAAGTTGGTTTCAGATGATTCACAGCACTCCACTGCCTTCTTCTCAGTGTGGCGTTCGCTCGTTTCCTCATCTCTGCCTCTTCATGTCTGCTGCTTGTCACAATGACTTACCGCTTTTACTACGGTCTTCTTTTTTTTTACTGTTATTCTTTGAGCGCACCAGCTGGTAACTTCTTTCTCCCAAAATTAACCATGTCCTCTATTACTTCCAGTATCCGCTTCCTTTTATGATCTCTGGTGCCATGTTCCAGCCCTCCTAGAAGGTCCATGATACTACTACCATATGTCACTTTCTAATCATCGTAACATTGTGGCCCTCGGTCAACCTCCAAAATATAAATAAATACGAGTTCTTGGTTGCTAAACTCAATTTGCCTTTGGCCATGTGTTATATCTTTACTGGTGCATTTACATTGAAACAGTTATGTATTATATGATTAATTATTTATTGCCACGTATTATCTCTTTGTTGGTATGGTTAATTATTTTATTGCCATAAAATTATTAGTTGTTGCTACTTGTAAATGGTTTGTAAAAGGTGTGTGTATTGTGCATGTTCAGAATGGGTACTTTCCAAATAAAAAATGTGAGAAATTTCTAATAAATGTTAGCCAAAAATAGATAGTTTATGCTGACGTCGTCGGGTAGGTATAATATTAAAAAATAATAAAAATAATTCAGTGGGCCGATGCCTGATCTTCAATTATGTTTAGCGACCAATGGGTGTCATGCTCCCTCGTAAATTGCATTGCTTTTAAAATATAAGAAGGAATGTAGTAAATTCATTGAAATAATTTTATTATTATTATTTTTTTCAAACATAATTATTATTATTATTATTTTCATTAATCAACTAAACGCGAATATAGGTTAACATTATTCTTTCTTTCCTTTCTCTTTATTTTTAACATTATTCTTTCATTTCATTTCCTTCATAATTAATGTTATCCTTTTGTACTAAACATAGTCTAAGATTCCGTTTTGATACTCATGAGAGAAAAGAAAAGAAAGAAAATGATAGTTATAATTTATATTTATGTTTACATAGATAGGAGAGAAAAGAAAAAAAATGAAAATATTGCTGTTTAGATAAAACAGAAGAGAGAAAGGAAAAGAAAAATTAATAACCAAATTACTATGTTATCCTTTAGTATTTAATCTAAATCAAATGACTTGTTTTAAAAATCTACCTTTCTAAGCTTCTAAAAACCTAGGTGGGACTAATTTGTTCATTATCAAAAGCAATTAAGATTAAGGTACTTAAGGGAGTTCGTCTGATTAGTGGATGAAAGGGCTAATTGTGAAATGATGGTCAAGTCTGGAACTTTCAACCTGGGGGCTAGAAAGACAAGTATAAAAAATAACACCACAAAAAAATGTTAAGAACTCTAATTTCAATGTTTATATAGATAACCAATATAACCTTCATTATTTGTATAGGAATTTCTTTTCTTTGTACAGCCAATTGATGCACTGGTCAACTTGTAAATATTTATAAACTTATTATTATAAACTTATTTATTTAATTTAATTAAAAAAAAAAAGTCTTAAGTATTTTCCCAGCAAACCAGCATTAAGGTTCACAAAGTTGCAGTATTTTCCCAGCAAACCACTATGTTTACAGATCTGCTAAATGATACTCCATATAGGGCATTGCGGTGCTTTGCCTGTTGTTCGATAAACAATACTCCTTATATGAGTCATTCCCATAATAAAAAATTAATAATAATAATACATCCATAGAGTTAATACCATAAAGTTAATTGAGATTGAGGGGAACCAAAAAGAAAAACAGTGAAGCACAAGTACAGACTAGTACAAAATTAAGAGTTCTAATACTATAGAGTTTACATTCCAAAAGCTCCACAAAAATAATAATAATAATAATAATAATAATTACATAACTAAACTTAGACATAATAGGAAGTTCCACCAATTGTTCCAAAATATTAATAGCTTAAAGTTATCAACGGTTCGCATCCCCAAAAGACAGTTGAAGATACAAGAAATTCCTTCCCTCTTTCTCTCTCTAGAATTCCTGTATTTCAACCAAAAAAATATCTCCTCTTTCTTTCCATTACTTCTCCTATTTATAGATATTTACAAATGTTGATGGACTGCTGGATCTAGGCCCGTTCCTCCATGAGTTCTGGTCATCTTTGATGGGCTTATGCGCGTTCGGCCCATATGGCAGTGTCTTTCTATGGGCCTGACCCATCTGTACGGACTGAATGTCGCGTTTGCAAGTCATATCCGGCCCATGTCATCTCGGGCCTCCTCAACTGCCCCCATAATTACCCCTTGTTTAATAAGGGGGTAATTATTGAAGGCGTCTCATCATGACGTTGACGGCTCGAGAAACCCACATGGGGGAACGGACGGTCAGATCCAGAATCAATGTTCCGGGGCTCGATGAATTTCTCGCCTTCCTTACGCTTCGGCCCTCGGGTCCCCCTCGCCTTTATAAGGCTTTAGAATACCACTTCATGCCTTTTTACCGTCTCCATCATCAGTCAAATCTCTCTCTTTTTAGAACAGTGTTAAGCTTTTTCCGGTGAAATCCTTCAAGAGTCATTCTTCCAGCGGTCTTGCAGTGCTCTTTGTTGCTTTCTACCTCAGAGGTTAGTTTTGTTCCTTTTTACTTTCGGCAGGCTTCTTTTTACCCTTTTAGATCCTTCAAACACTTCCACCATGGTTGTAGATCTAGATGTTCTTCGTATGAGACTTAGACTTCCTGACAACATCCAAGTTAGGGTTTGCCCTAAGGATGTTAATATTATGACCGGTGCCGGCCTCCTTCCCGGCGAAGTTTTATTTTCAAACCTTCAACTGAATGTCGTTAGGTTCCCTTTGCACCCCTTCTTTAATTATGTCTTCAATAGACTGGGGATATCCCCCCTGCAGGTAAACCCCAATTTCTTTAGAATCATATCCGTTATGCTACTGTTGATTCGTGACAGAAGTTTGGACCTTGACCTCATAGATCTTCTTCTGTGTTATAAGGTCAGTAAGATCCGAACTAATGAGCCCTTCTACCACCTCTACCCGATCGAGAAGATGTCCATATGTACGGACACAATCAAATCTGAAAAGGGTTGGAGGGATAACATCGTGGGCATTAGTGGGGCTTGGTCTTCGCCGACTGCAGAGGATTACCCAATCCCGAGCGCCTTTGGCGTCTGTTCTGTTTCCTCATATAAGAAATTCAAATCTCACAAAAACGATTGCCCCTGCGAAACATGTGTTCCTCGCTTTTGTACTTTCTTATGCCGCTCCTTAGGAATACCTTGTGATGACTTGAGCTACAGTGTTTGCAGGGATAGGAGTAATTACTTGAAGAAATACGTTCTGAACGATATTCCTTCCTGCTCAGACCTCCTCACTTCAGACAACCTCCTAGCGCTCTCATCCCTCGGCTATACCATGAGCAGGCTTCAGATTCCCTCCTTTGGCAGGAAGAAAAATACTCCCCCAGCCACTTCTGCTGCTGGGGCAACCTCCTCTCCTGCATCAGCCTCTTCCTCAGCCACCATCTCTGACACCATCCTGAGCACGGTGGCTATTGACTCTGTTGTCAGCACCCCTGCTACCAACCCGAGCGCGTCTCCATAAATCACTACAGCCCCTGCTAACGCTGGGGGCGCTCGGGACAAAGAACAAGGCAAAAGGCCTCATCCTGACAGTGGAGTCGACCTGGAGGAGGAACCTCTCATAAGAAGGACCCGGGTCTCTGGGCCTGGTGCTCTCTTGCATCGCCCGGTCAGAGCTCCTGCCCCCTCCGGGCCTGTTGCAGCCGGTGCCTCTGCTTCTGCTTCAGGCTCCCCTTCTCTTCCCACTTTACCACCATGGGCTCCTCGGTACACCCGAACGGATGGGACGTTCGTGAAGCCGAACGAGACTATGCTAAAGGATGGCCAGACCGCCATGGCGTATTATAGGAGCATGTGGACTCCGAAAGACCTTGAGGCGGCGAAAGGTCTATCCCAGAAGGATGTGTTTAGCCGCTTTCCCCAATCTGCCATGGAGGTGACTTTTATTTTCTAACTCATGAATCCTCTCATATTATTTGGTCTTGCCTTCGTCCGACCAGACTATCGGTTTAACCATTATTAATGTATATCTATGCAGACTTTGTTCGGAATGATGGCTATGCAAAAGCAGGTTAAAATGGGGAACGCCAGGGCTCGTAAGTTTTCTGATAGCCTGGAGGTGGCCAATAAGGAAAATGACCTTCTCGCCAGCAAGAATACCGAGGTATTGGCTCGGCTTGAAAAAACCGAACAAGAAAGAGATGTCTTGAAGAAGGAGAACGACTCTCTTCAGGATGAGAAGGATGCCCTCCAGCTTGAAAAGAGTGTCTGGCAGACTGAGCGTGATTCAATCAGAGACGAAAAGGCAGAGCTCCAGCGCCTTCTGGCTGATGAACAGTCTGCTCGGATGGCTTTTGAGAAGAGAGCTCTGGACGAGCGTACTGCTCTGATTGATACCATCAGCAGAGTGAACGGTGGGATGCTGGCTCTTCATGCTCGGTTCTCAAGGGTTGGCGCTCTTAGATATGCTCAAGGATTCCGATAAGGTTTCTCCGACCGAGTTCCGGATGAGGGACAGACCAGCTCAACTCCAGATGAGGTCGATAAGGATTTAGGGATTGACCCTCTGGGGGTCTATGTTGACCCAGAACCCACCGAAGCGGAGCACATATTTGATGAGTGCCAGGACATTGCTTCCTCTAGGATCACTACAGCTCCTCCTACCGCTCTGCCTCTAACCGCTCCTCAATCG